TTAAATATTCTCTTAATCTAGGTTTTTGATAATATATGTGAGATAATCCTGCATATCCTAATTTTTGAATGTTTGTTATGGCATATGTGTTAGCATAAGCTTTTAAAGCTGTAAATACGTTAGTTCTTGTGCCGAATGTTGATATAGAATGTCGTTTTAAAGCTTTTCTTACTGCTATCCCCTTAGATGCTTTATCCAGTATGTTAAAACGTTTATATTCTGGTGTTTTTCTATCTGTTCTAATTTGTTTATGAGTGTTCCTGGAAAAGGTTTTGATGGATTATGAGGGTATTCTTTATCATCTATAACAACTTTTTTTAATTGTTTACCGTCTTTATTTGTTTTAATTTTACCTACACCACTACTTAAAACATATTTCATTACAGATTTTTGCCTATTAATATCCATATTAATATAATGTACATTTTCTTTTAAATAGTGTTTTATCTCTGTGGTGGGTCTGGGGCTCTCGATACCCTTTAAGGTGGCTTCTCCTTAAGTAGAGGGTGCGGGCGCGCGCGGGGGTGGGCTGGGCTGGGCTGGTGTGCCTGTTAACAATCATATTATAAGATAATATGATAGTTAATGTTTTTATGTTAAAAAGTCATCTGTTCTATTGATATAATCGCTGTCCTGTATTATTGATTTTTGTTTCTTGATTTTTTTCATGTATTCTTCTTTAGGTATATAAGGATATCTAGCATCCATAAACCGTTCAAATGAATAATCATCCTCAAAATGTGTTTCTCCTATTCGCTTGTTTATCCATCTTAAAATTTCATTTCCATACAGTTTAAATTTGAGTTTACTAAATTGTTCATTGTTGTTTATGTTTGATAAAATCGCATAAATTGCACTTTCAACTTTATTCAGTTGTCTTTCAAGATGATTAACAAATTTTCTCTTTGTATTATTCTTATCATCTACACTTTTATCATAATCATTGATTATTTTGTTTCGTTGTTTGCTGTAAAATTGCTTTACTTTTTCATCAATTGTAAATGAGTTATCATATTATATTTTAATTTCATTGTAGAATTCAAGGTTATAAATTTTGCATTCTGGTAATACACTTTTGGGCCATCGTAACGTTTTCTCAAATTTAGGAAATGGATTTAATTTAACATAATAATATATTTGTGAATCTAATTTCTTCTCTGTGTAATTTGTTATATTGTATTTATGTTTATCTTCAACTGCTTTAACCACATTTTCAATATCTTCAATACTACAATAGTAAACATTTTCTTTAAATTCTTTTAAAGTTTTACATACTTCACATTCTTTATAATTATATTTACAAATATCTTTAACAATATTACTAGGTATATTTAATTTATATAAGCTCAAATTCTGTTGATTAAACTTACAGTTTTTACATATACTCACTTTATGATTAATAGTTGTTTTCATTTCAATAACATTTAAGAACCTATTAATAATTTCTTCTTGTTCTAATGTTGACAAAAACATTATATTATTACAATGGTAAAATGTCTTTAAGTATATTTTTTGTTCTGGGCTGGGGCTCTCCATACCCTTTAACGTGGCTTCTCCTTAAGTAGTGGCGCGGGCGCGGGAGCGCGGGCGCTAACCAAATACCTAAACCATCCCCAAAAAATAAAATCATTGAAAAAAGGAGCGCTTTTTTTCACGAAGGGAAAATAAGCGAGGCAAGAGCTCGCATGCTAATCGCGACGAGACGAAAAGAAAAAACAATAAAAATAATCGGGCGCGCTCCTTTTTTTTACAAACGCGCCTAACCTAAGCCAAGCCACAACAACCCTGAACGCTAAACCACAACAACCCTGAAAAACCCTGAACGCCTAAACCGAAAAAAGCCCAGCGGGGGAGGTCGCACCACAGCGTTGAAGTCGTTGAAGAGAGTGTCGTTGTTGAAGAGGAAAACCTGCCATATTATTTAGTGAAACTTTTCTTTAAATACTAAAAAGTGCATCGGGTCAAGTCGGGGATTATTGAATTTATTTTTTCGTGGTCTATCATATTATTATTTTTCATGATTTATGTTGTATTTTCTATATGATTTACCACTATTTTTAATGTAAATAATATTTTTATGCATACGACATACTTTGATTTTTTATTTAAGGGTTTTAGGGGTTTAGGATGTAATGCAGACGCCAGCATCTTCTTTTCACAGAGAGCATAACACCGTTTTGTTCATCATCTTTCTCTTTGAAAGATGACTTGACTGAACCCACAAGTCTTTAACTGTAGACTTGACCTACCATTTGGTAGGATTTAGGTGAAGAAGAAGCACCGTTAACCTTTACACAAGGGCACGTGTAACCTTTACACAAGGGCACGTGTAACCTTTACACAAGGGCACGTGTAACCTTTACACAAGGGCACGTGTAACCTTTACACAAGGGCACGTGTAACCCCCGCGTTCTTTTGCAGTGACAGCCTTTGAAGAACTTCTTCTTCAATCTTCGATACAGTGTAGCGTTCATTAATTATGTTCTCAAAAGCGCTGTTATCAACCTTCTTACTGTTGTTAAACTCAAGGATGTAGCGAGCTTCCAGCTTCTTAGGCAACATCCTGCGAGCAATCAGCGCGTCGTCACTGATTTTTTGAAGCTCATCAACCAGCGGTAGAACTGAAGGAGCGACTGCAAGAACAACTCTGTCCGATGCTGAAGAAGCATTGTTGTATTCACCATGCAAGACGTCCAACTCGGAGATGGTCATATTATTGACAATGCTCTGGAAGTAGTCTAAATCCTTCTCAATCATGACGAAGTTTTGATTCACCTTTTCCATGAACTGGTTCTGCGTAGTTTTCCGCATCATTTTGTTGATGACGTCGTTGATGTCTTCCACCTTGTCATCAATCTTTCGCTTCGCCATGAGGACCGTTAAGCACTGAGACCACCTAAAAAACTGATAAGCAACAAATGCTACGGATATTCACAGCTCAAGCTCACTCAACAAGTCTCAAAGCTTCACGCGGAAACTGACCGTCTGAGTAGTCGGATTTTTTGACTGCTGTGCGTCTGGTCTTCGCAAGTATAAACTGGAAGACTGTCGTAAGCAATAATGCTCACTTGTACAAGAAAATGCGCTTGTTGCACTCCATAAGCTCTGAGTTTGTAATCAAAGTGTTACCATGGAGTTTTGTGATTTCTTTTGACGTGTCGATTTTGCCCTTGTCGTCAGCGAGGAAGTAGCGCATAGAGCCATCTCTTTCCTCAGAGAATAACTTCTGACATTTCTCGCGTAGCTCGGAAATTTTGGCGTTGCTTTTGATGGTCAACGGCTCTTCAACCTTTTTGAAGACAACCGTAAAGGAGACATCAACCACCTGGCCCATCTTCTTCTCAATCATATCAATCATTGCCATAAGGTTGTGGCACTGATCCTTCAAGGAAGCGAGCTTTTTTGGCATCTCTTCTTTCGTCAAGTTCTCAATCTCGTCAATGTCGGCGGGGTTCAGCAGGGTCATAGCTTTCTCTTTCGTAATCTTCTCCATTACCCACAACTGAGATGAAGCTGGCGCCGGGGGTAGCTCTACTTCATCATCATAGCCATCCTTAGGAGCCACCTTAGGAGTAGCCGTCTTCGGAGCCATGGCACAAAAGACACAGGAGATATCACTATCAAAAGCTTGAAGCGCGAATTGCTTCGTTCATAAAATGTTGTGCACAATGTCAACAGTTGCATCTCTTCAGAAGTGTTAGCACTTGCAGGCAGTTGCATACAATAAACATGTCTGTCGCACCTTCACAGTGAAGATGATGTCGTCCATCAAAGCCACCACAGAAACCTAGACATAATATTATACAAAATATTATACATAATACCCCGACATAAACCGACTAAGGAAGGAAACTTATGCCTAAGCTTATGACATAAAACAACATAGAATATCGGAATAGGGTCCTAGGTAAAACTTATACAAAACCTTATGATAATAAACCATCATAAGTTGTAGGTAATAATAATAATTCAAAAGATATCCCCAAAACTACATAAAGATTTTATATGAGGGTGCAAAAAAAAACGATAACGAACAAGATGGACAAGTTGAAAAACAGTATAGGGGCCTATATAGGTGGTAGGAGTGGAGCCCTAGGAACCCCCTTTTACTAATTCTTTTGGGTGGGGGGGTGGGGGGGGGGGATGATGATGACGACAGTGTTACGCGAACACACCCAGCAGTATCACCACAAGAGCCGTTTAACTCGTTATTTACGGTACTTTCGTGATGTCAGACTTTGTTACATATTCTGAGCCCCTACTTCTCGACTATGCGTATTAAACTTTGCTCTTTGGAGCTGTTTGCAAAAAAACTCGAAATTGGGTGGGGGAAAGCTTCTTCGGGGATGATCACGACACTGTTTTGCGGACACCCTGAACAATATTTCCACACTCAAGCGCGCACACACCACACACACACACACACACACACCACTTCAAAAACAGACCCTCCTACACAGAGGTTGGGCGGTAGGGGTGTTGGCGAGCCCCTCCCACGTACAGCTGGCATCTTTGTTTTTCATGTTCAGAAGATGTTGCGCTTCAGGTTTTAGAAACGTTAAACCCTTGTTGGCAGCACCTGGGTTTTGCACGGTATTTACAGCGTTTTCGTACTATCCGACCACCTGCGGTTTATCAATTTCTGCCCCGTCGAGCTTGCAACACCAGCTGCTGTGGCAGTTTTGGGGCCTGAGCCCCTGCAACTTCACCGGCTGTGACAGTTAAGGAAACTGAGCCTCTGCAACTTCTGCAGCTGTCACAGATAAGGAGCCTGAGCCCGTGCATCTTCTGCAACTATCGCAGTCAAGGCGTCTAGCAGCTACCGCTGCCCAGCCCGGATGGAACAAGTGTAGTTGGGAGGGGGGGGGTGGCTAGTAGTAGTAGTAGTAGTAGTGGTCGTAGTCCGATTTGTTACTGGCATCGGCGTGTGTTTGTTGTGAGATGACATATCACGTGGGTACGATTTGTTGCGGGCATCGGCGTGTGTTTGTTTTGAGCACATGACAGGGGGTACGATTTGTTACGAGCATCGGCGTGTGCATGTTGGCGTTACCGGGCCCCGGCCCTAAAAGAGGACGTCAACATAGTTTCAAACTCAAACTTTCAACGCATTCAATCTTCAAACTCTTCCAACTTACAAACCTTCAAACTCCCAAACTTTGAAAATTTCAATCATTCGAACTCCACCTCTCTCAAACTTGAAAAGTTCAAGCCTTCAACCATCAAAGTTTGAATTTTTTGGAACATTCAAACTTTGAAGCTTTCGAACTTTCAACCGTTCAACCTCCCTGGGTTTCAAACTTTCAAACTCTTCATTCTCCAATCTCTTGAAATGTTCAAACTCTCCAATCTCGTCCAACATTTAATACGTTCAACCTCTCAAAAGTTCAAGTTCGAAAAAAACCACTCGTGACACCTATCCACCTCCAGTCCATGCTGTGCTGCTGTGCTGTTCTGCACCCCCTTTTTGTTGCACCGTCGGCGAGGAAGAAGAAGGGCGCTGCCAAAGAAGTCGAGACCGAGGCTGTGCAGGCCACGGAAGACGCGCACCACGACCCCAGGAACACGGCGGGAGGCCGGACAGCATGGCGGGGGAGTTGAGCTGTCACGGGGGCTCCATGATTTCCGAGGAGAAGAGAAGCAGGACACTACGGAGGACGCTGCTGCGGCTGACCCCGCTGACCCGGCTGACGCTGAGGCCCATTCGGAAGCTCTCGAAGCCGTCCATGCCGCCCCGGCCGTAGGCGAGCAAGAAGAAAAAGAAGAAGAAGAAGGCGAAAGGTAACAAAGGATCTCCCGTGATCTCCACGTAAGCAGACGTGTTCCGGAGTGTTGTTGAGTCTTGAGTCTAGAAACTTGCCAAGAGCATCATGTTATGTCTGCTTGCTATGCGCATCTCTGTGTCTGTGTGATGTCTCACAGGAGATGTTGAACATGGGATCCCACTGTAGGGTGCATTGGGAATGGATACTGCAATTTGCAAACCTGGCGACCCTACAAGGAGAGGACGGGATTCCCGAAGCGGAGGAGGTGCCGGGCGGTGCCAGAGCGCTCCTGCAGTCTGCTTTGCTCCAGTCTACTGCGCTCCTGCGGTCTGGTCTGGCAGGTGGAGGCAGGCGAACCCGACGAGCGGGTCGGCTTGGCCTTGGAGGCTTCGCCGCGTGCGCTGCCGGGTGCGGGATACGGCGACACGGCGGCGGAAACGGGTTTGGAGGAGGCGCCAGAGGACGAGGCTGAGGAGGCCGAGGAGGCGCGAAGAGAAGCGAAGCCTTGCGTCGCCTTGCATCGCCTTTCGCAGTGGCGGCAAACGCCGTCCGCGCGCGCGCGCGCAGGGGGACACAGGCAAGAAGAAGAAGAAGCGGCGAGGCGACGGTGCCGGGCAGTGCCGGGGCTCCGGGCAAGGCTGCAGGCCCTTTCGAGAAAGATTTTTCTCTCTTGCAGGCAAGAAGAAAGGTGGCCGGACGCCCACAGCCACAGACAAGATGCGAGCCCTTATGCAATGGTGCCTGGGCCTAGGTGGTGGCACCGTCAGTGGACTTGATGGCATTGCCAACTACGGCATCTCCGACGAGGCGAGGCGCGAAGAGCGAGAGAGAACGAGAGACTGGAAGCGAAAGCGAAAGCTGATGAAAGACGTTTGCGGCTCAACCCACGCAGCTGATACAAATTCTCTTCGGACCAGTGCAATGACTCTGTGAAAAGCTGCCTGCAGACGACGAGGAAGCTCCCCCCGTCCTCAATTTGTCTGCAGGACTTCGATGCATGGTGTCAGAAGACACTGGAGGCCGTCGCTACACGGAAAGAAGCAACTCCCTCTCGTTGCTGGGCTTTGCAGGCTACGGCCAACGAGTCTGAAAAGATGTCTTCGCAAGATCTTCAGAAGCCTCCGAGGGCCGCGGTCCAAGTGGCACCGCGCTTCCCCCCGCAAACTCGGCCCATACCGCCAGGAGTTCTGGGGCTACCAGTACTCCGGCACCTTGCGGCCAGCTTACGTCAGCAAGCAGATGCGGATGCCCGAGGCAGCAGACCTCACCGCTTCGCGTCGCGTGACCGCGCGACCTCGCGTCGCCGTCGTCGCTCCGCTGTTAGGCTTTCCCCTTCCTCGCTCGCTCTCTCTCTCTCTCTCTCTCTCTCTCTCTCTCTCTCTCTGTTTCTCTCTCTTGCGCAGGGCACGCTGCTCCCGGACTATGCCCTCCAAGCTGACGTGCCCTGGCGAATCTAATCGCAGTTGGAGAAGCGCGCGGCTTTGTCAACTCCCGCCGAGGGCTCCAGCGCCTGTGAGCGCCAGGGGCTGAAAGAGGCGCACGGAGAGTGCCCCGCAGTGCCCCCCGCAGGGCAGAGTCTGGCAGAGTCTGGCAGAGCGCAATGGCGCATGCCGCCAACCGGTCTCTACACACACTACGGTCTACACATTACAAAATTGCAGCCTCCGAAAAAATGCAGTGAAGCCGTGTAAACTCGTCTAGACCGTGTGACAGGTACGGCCGTTAGAGCAACCATTGCAAGAAGAACGGATCGACGGCTCAAACACAGATTTGAGGATCATGCCGCTTCGCTGGATGGCAGCAGACGTGCTGACAGGGTTCACAACATGGGGAAGCATCCACCTTGTCCCTCGAGCTGACATGATGCGGTGTAAATGAAACGATTGCAGAGACCGGGACTGCCAGGCTGCCACTGCTGGGTAATCCAGCAGGCAGAACGACATGTGTGCATTACCATGCCATCAGTGATATCGCTAAGAAATGACCCCATCCAACTCGGCTTGTGACGAACATGATGCGAACCTGGCCTTGTCTAGACTCATCATGACGATCATCGTCATCACAAGATCATGAGATTGCCTGCATGGTCATTTCGACACTGTTCTCGTTGTGCACCACAATTACAACTTCTCTCCATCGAGCAGGAGCAGAAAAACCCGCGAATTAGTGCCATTCAATGCATCAAAGGGTCTGCATGAAATACATAATATGTCATTCATATACATATACATATACATATACATAAATATATGTAGATATATGGTACCTCCGCCAGGAAGTCTGAGATGCTCGAAGCCAGGGATTCATCCTTTTCCTTCCGGGTTTTACAGCCTCCTTTCCGTCCACTCCGATGAAAGTAGGCGGGGGGGCTGACAACCGGTCGTGCATTTGTGCCCACCCATTCCTGCACGCTTTGCCTGCCGCGACCTTGTCCAACCAACCGCTGCAGGTATTCCGCCTGAGGCCACGCGGATGCCTTTCTTGATCTTGGCCGTGATTGTTCCGATCGCAGCCGACGCAAGCTGATACCCCACGCCTGATCGGCCTTCAATGGCCTGCCATCTGGTTGAACCTCAGCTTGGTTGCCCCCAAAGTCCAAACCCAAGTAGGAATGAAAGAGGCTCTCAGCCCCTCGGGGCAAAGTGTTTCGTCATCACATCAATCAGGAACTCTAGGAGATGCTGACAATGCCGATCAACACGTGTCCACGGTGGTGGCTAATACTTGGCAAGCTCCCGGTCAAGGATCCTCCTGCCCCCTTTTGTGCACATGTTGTCCCTGTCAAATCAGATAGTGGTCACCATGGACGCTGGCTGTGTCAATCTCGTGGCTGACACTGCCATACCATACCGTTAAGTTGCACTGCCCCTCCGACAGGAATTCAATCCGCTGCTTTCTGCCACTGGGATGACAGTAAGTTCCACTGGCCCAGCGCGAAACTGGTCCAGATAGGTCCCCCACTCCGCTGGCAAGCCTAGTAGGTTGATCCTTCCGCTGCCTTCGGCACGTCCTTCGGGCGGTTTGTCGGAGGCGGCGAAGTTCTCCTGGTCACCCCATTTATGGCCTTTTCCACTCAGGCGAGAGCATGGCCTGTCTACACAGCTCGGTGTCGGACCGTGAGTGAGGATAACACGCATGCCCGTCATGAGTAGATAGACCTCCGTGCATAGGACCAGTCCCGGCGCCCATCTGGTTTGGTGCCTCTCACCAGCGCTCTTGCTGTTGCTTCTTGCCCAGCGAGTACACAATCACGGTACAAGGGGCGGCTGTGGTGGCACCACAGCCGAAGCAGATCCGCCAACTTGCGGTGCCAGGAGGGAGATATGGTGGCGGGGGTGAGCAAACCTCAAGTCCTCAAACCCGAGGCAAAGCACGTGCTTTCAAGAGCGCCTCAAACAGCAGCTATCTCTCTCGAAAGAGTCTTCTGAGACCCCCTGTCAATATGTGCATGTACATAAATGTATGTGTATATATATATATATATACACACATTATCTGTGTAAGACGCAGAGAGGATAGCAAATTGTAGCCGAAGAGGTGCCCTTTCGCCCGCTCGCAGGTTCCAGTGTTGGAGGGCAAGGAGCTCGAGACCATGCGGAGAGCCTGCAAGCTGGGTCGGGAGGCGCAGGGCGCAGGGGGGGTGCCGCCCCGTGCCCGCCGGAAAGGACGAGGCTTCACGTTTCTCCGCCGCAGGTTCTGGACACCGCTGCTCGCTTCATGCGGCCTGGCGTCACAGGGGACGAGATCGACCGCGTGGTCTACCAGGCCCCACGGCTTTCCCGAGCTGAAGCGCCGATCCGCTCGAGTTTGCGTTGTGCAGGCGTGCATCGATCGCAAGATCTACCCCAGCCCATTGCGCCTGGGACGTCATTTCGGGACAGCCACACTGCCACACTGTACACTGTTTCCTCTTCTGCAGCTGAGGAATTACTACCGCTTCCCCAAGACGCTGTGCGTTTCAGCTAACGAGGCACCTTCCTCGATGGCGGAGACACTTGCCGGCTTGCACTCGGCAGCGTGCCGGGCCATCTGAGGTGATTTGCCACGGCATTCCGGACTGCCGCCCCTGCGAGGCGAGATGTGAACTCGCGACTGGCCTGAGTGCCTGTCATGGTTCTCGATTAGGAGGGAGACATCGTGAACTTGGACATCAGCATTTACTTCGAAGGACGGAGCGGGAGCGGAGAGTGGGGGAAATCGCTCTCTGCTCAGAGGCTTCCACTCCGGCCGGCTGCCCAGCGAAGGAAAGCGGCAGCGAGCGGAGAGTCGGAGCGATGGGGATTTGGCAGCAGAGATTGCTCCAACAGCCTTAACAGCCTTCGTCTCCGCTCCAAGATCTCAACGAGACCTTCTTTATCGGAGATTGCGATGAAGATTCTCAACGGCTGGTGAGGCCCGCCACGGCCGCCCCCGATCCCTTGACGCTTCACTAAACGTTCCGCTTGCTGCCGACCCTTTGTAGGACAGCCTACAATGCCCTATTCGCTGCAGCACAGATGATCCGTCTGGAACACAGCAGTGCTTGGAGCACGCGCTCTCTGCGCATGCGGAGCCGCGATGTGACTAGGTCCAGGGACCTTCTATCGAGATTTAGGCTGTGGCAAAGCATGGCACAGCCTCAAGGGCCTCCAGCAGTGCTTTTAGCCGCAAAACAAAAACCACGCCAGGTGCCGCCATCCAGTCAGAGGCGCGGCCGGGCCGGGCAGGGTCGTCCCCTGCAGTCGTTGCTCGTCTTCGCTTCCGTGAAGTGTGCAGAGTTTGCAGAAGGCTTCCAAGAACGGCTGCGCCGTCGTCACCACGCCGAGCACTCGGAAGTTGTTGATGCGGCCATAGCAGGGCTGCAGAGACTGGAGGTATTGCGGCCATGGCGTAGGGAAGTTGTTCCACGGACCGCCGAAGGTCCCCCACTATAAGCGCGGACCCCGGGCCCAAAGAGAAGAGACCTAGGACCTGGGAGTCTAACTTCTTCACCCTTTAAAGCAGGAAGAACAAGGCCGTGGGCATCATGAAGCCCGGCCACGCTCCAGCCTCGACAGTCGGGGTGGTTTGCCTTTGCCAATGTGCCGTTCGCCGTCAGGTCTTCACCGTTGAGCCCATGCTGAACCTTGGGGGTAACGGCGGTGACAGGACAGCCGGGTGGCGGGCGCCCTTCCTCCCTCTCTCTCTGTCTCTCTCGCAGGACCTGGCCCGACAACTGGACCGCCGTCACTCGAGATGGCAAGAGGCGCGCGCGCGCGGTTGAAGCGCGGAAGCTCCCGCCGGGCTCAGCTTTCTTTCTCCTTAACGGAAGGGCTCGCCGGCCGAGGTCCGCACAATTCGAGCACACCTTCTTGGTCACCGAGTCACTCGGAAGAGAAGAGAGTTCGAGAGTTTGAGAAGAGAAGTCGGTTGTAGGCGCCCTTCTCAGGACCGGCCTGGAAGTCCTCACTGCACGGCCTGGCACCGACCCGCGGCTCGGCCTTTACGAGCCACTCTGCTCTGAGCTCTCCTGCTCTGCTTTACGAGCCACTCTGCTCTGAGCTCTGCTCTGCTCTATGCTCTGCAGAGCAGGACGCAGATGCCAGCCTACAACCCGGTCATGGCCCCAGCTCGTTGGCCTCCTCCCTGCCGGTTACTCCGCTTTGGAGGCCATGTTCCAGAGGTGAGCTGCGAGGAGCCGCCGCCTTCCGAGCAGTTTTGCGCCCTGCCTTTCGGTGCCAATTTGGCACTCGACAGACCCGGACCCGCACATGTCGCAGAGAAAGAAAGGGCTTCCTGGCTTCATGTGCTCTGCGCCGATTCAGACACTGACTGGAAGTTGCGGGCCGAGCTTGGTGAGACAGCGTGTGGTCTGATTCGGCTGCAGTAGGAGTCGGAAATCACGAAAGAGCTCTCATGCCATTCCTACCGTGCCCCTCCTGAGAAAAGCCGTGTAGCACGATAGCAAAAGACTGTGCAATGTCCCAGGCCGGGGTATCAGCTGTACCGGTCCTAGCTCCGTATACTGATACTGGCATTGAGGAATACTGAGTTAGCGTTTTGGCCAGACTGCCATGTTGGTCCTCACAGCGTTTCGTCTAGTAGCGAGTCTGCCGCCTAGCAGCCCCGCCATGTGCGCTTCCGTGTGGCTCGGCGGGCTCGGCGGGTGGTCGCCTGTGAAGTGTGTCAGCGGCTCGGCTCAGCTGCAAGCGCGCATGCCTTGTGTGATGCGCACTTTTCCCAAGACATGCTCTACACAGATCTCTCTTCTCTTCTCTCTGCAGAGGCGAGCTGCAGGGGCTCCTCTCCGCGCTTCCGTGTGGTGGCTGAAGGAGAGCGGCCCGGGATCACAGGTCCTCCGGCATGCGAAGGCGAAGGATGCTTTGAACGCTGAGCTCGGCGGAGGCCAACTGCGCTACACAGCTGATTCACAAGCGGCTGAGTCTGAACCGGAACTGAGCCTCTTTCTTTTACCCTACTCCGTCACCAGAACCTGTGGAGGGACCTGCGGCGGGCTGCGAGCGTTGAGGTGCGTAAGGTAAGCAGCCGTCGCCTAGAACCGCACTACCCGCCGTCACAGCTGCGGAACTCTCTCTTCGCACCACGGCCCTTGCCTGGAGCCCTCAAATACCGGACATCCCGGCGATGTGCACCGCTGCTGGTGCTCTGATGGAGATGGAGGCAGGTACCCTCGTCGTACGCCTGAGGGCATGGCTGCGCTGGCTGCGCTTTGCCGCCGGCCCTGTAAGGAGGGAGTGAGGGGGTATGCCGGACTTGCACCCCTCCTCCAACCGAGTCCCAGCTCTCGCCCCATGTGCCACAAGGTGTGATGATCTTGTGAAGGTCTTGTCTGCTGACTTCCTGGAATGGCTTGAGATCTTCGGACCTTTCCACGAGGAATCGGCCGCCACCACCCTGCTAGGCCTGGGCCTTCACCGAGGAGCTGAAGCATCTCAGGCACTGGAATCAAGCAGCGCTCCGTCACGAGGCGTTCATGACCCTCTGCCGTCCCGCCGAAAGTATCACACATGCGGCGGCTCCACGCCTTGTCGCAGCTTCTGCAAAATCACTACACCGCCACAGCAAGATTCAGCACAGAATGCCTTAGATTCACTCCTTTGCGAAGGATGCCATGTCTTCCGAATGAGAGATGAGACCTGTAGCCAGAGTTGCACATGATCCGGTATCTCCTGCAATTGCATAGGGCATAATCTTCAGGACATGTACATGCGCCTGCCGGCGAGACATCTCGTGAGACCCGACAGAAGACGGCGTAGTCTGCAGTTAAGTTCAGCTTGAGTTGAGTTTTCAAGCGAGTGGGAGCAGTGCGCGTGAAATGGAGCGTCTGCTCCGCCGCCTTCTGAGACTAAAGGCCGACGGCACCGCTTTAGCCTTGCTCCAGGCTGCTCCAGCTCTAGGTCGAAGCCTCGCATATGCGAGGAAAGTCAACCGCAACCGCGGTTTCAGCAGCAGAAGACGAGTTCCGTAGGAGAAATTCCATAGGATGCTCCTGCAGTCTGTAAGAGAGATTTGCAAGCAAGGCAGAAGGCGGGCAGCATAGGCCTTTCGGTAACGAGCTGACAATCAATTCCGCTGAGCTGAGGAGGGTCGGCTGCAAAGTCTGAGCGCCTTCTGAACACCCATGTGGCCTGTTGCTGCAACTTTGTGAAGAGGCTCCTCGTTTACCCATGCCCTGAAGAGAGCTGCCTGCAGCTGCCACGGCATGAAGTGGTGTAACGAGCTCATAGCTGTCATAGCAGCATAGCAGCTTGTCGGGCTGTCTTCGGTGCCGTCGGACCATCCGTCCTGGTTTGGGAAGTGCAAGTGCAGCGGATGCTGCTCGTAGCATCTCGTTGCGGGCACTGACATCTTGCCGCTGCGAGCTGGCACGCAGGGGCCGTCTGGGCCGTGCTGACGCAGAGCCCGACGAGGCCTGACACGCGGCAAGACAGAGATCACAGCGGCCATCTTCACTTGAGGGCGTGCACGTGCTCTCCGTGTTCTCCAGGTCCTTCTTCTTAAAGCGGCTAAAGTGGTCTCCAGGGGCGAGGCTCCACAAGACTTGAAGCAGCGTCTTGGCTCTTGCAGTTGATGGCCTCTTGATCGAGGCCCTGTAGGCTGTCGGCACTGTGGGCACTGTGGGCTATACGGCTAAAGGTGGCTGTCAGCAAGCACAGGCTTGCGAGCAGCTGCGAGCCCTGAGCGCTGCGGCATGGGCTGAGGCTGAGAGCCACCAGGGCCAAGGCCACTGCGGCGGCAGGGGCAGGGCCCGCAGGGCCCGCAGGGCTTCAGGCTCCACACACTCTCGGACGCTTCAGCTTTTGGGGCCCGCTCTTGAGCGCATGGGACCTGGACCTCCGCTCGTGCTCACGGCCGAGCAGCTTTGCGCAAGCCGCAGCCACCGGCCGGCCGGCCGACCGCAGCGCTGCTGCCGCTGCTCTCTTTCTGCTCCTTGCGCCGGATAAAGAAGGAATCCTAATCCCGTTAAGTCCCTGTCAAGGCTGTTCCTTTTCACCCAAAAAAGCCGCCACGCTCTTCCGGAGCCGGCTGCAGGGCCAGGCGCAGAATGCCCACCGCAGAGCTCTGAAGCTCTGGGTCTGGCTTTGGAAAGCTCGCGCGCGCTTCTCTCACCGACAAGTGGTCAAGAGAGCAAGCGGAGTGCTTTTCAAGGCCAGTCACATGACCTAGAATGTCTAGCTAAGAACAGATGCGCAGACGAGGCCTTTGCCTCTTTAGCCTTTTTGGGGGTTGTTTAGGACCTGAGCCTTGCGTAAAGCGAGCCCCTGGAGCGCCGCCTCACCCCCAGTGCCCCGTGCCCCCCGCCCGGTCTCATGTCCAAGAGAAGAGGAAGCGCTGAAGCGTTGAAGCGTCTGATCCCGCCGGGCATTCGGATTCTGCCAGAAGCGTCCAGGGCTTCTCTTCTCTGCGAGCGCTGCGTCCGGCAGTGCACGCGACTGTTGTCCACGGAAGCACCCCCCGGGGTTCTCACTCACATTACAACTTCGCCTTGCTTGTCTCTGGCGCCACTGACAGTCTCCTGCGTGGTGCATACAACCGCACTTAGGCTCCCCTGCCCCTGCTTCTGCGGCCCTTGCGGCCCTTGCGTGCTGGGCGCGAGTCTCTTTTGCTGTCGGCGCCCATGCGAAGAGCATCGGATCGGAGCGAACTCCAGGAGGTTTTGCAGCGCTACGATCGGATCGTACTGTGACGAAGCCATCGCCTGGGGCCTGGCCGTGGCAGAGCACAAGAGGCACTTTAGGAGTCTAGGTAGCCTTGTGGCCAGGCTCTGGGCCTAGGCCGCAGTGAGCCGGCAGCCTTCCTCACAAAAAAACAGAGTGGTGGAGCAGCGCAGGGGGGGTCCGCTCGCGGCCGCAGCGCTCCCAGTGTGCAAGTCACCCTGGCTTTCTTCTAGTCTTGAGTGTCTGAGAACGGGGACTCGATACCCTGGGCTGCCCACGCCAAGAAATCCACCCTGCACATTTAGACACTTGGGGTGACACAGAGCAAGATCACCACCTAGGATGCATCCTTGTAAGTTCTTCCACTTCCTAGCCTTGGGCTTGGGCTCTAGTGGCTCTAGTTCTTGCTCCTCTTGCACTCAGCGTTGCTCCAATGTCAAACTCGTGGCTTTGGCTCTTCTGCTCTGAGGCTGCTTTGAGACGCTGCACCCCGCTGCAAACCGCGCGGCCATGGCATGGCCATCCCTGGCTTTCCTTTCTGCCTTTAAGCGGAGGTATCCTCCCAGCCTCTTGAGGCCTTGCCCTCCGAGGGCTTTGGGGTTCCGGGGGCGTCGTTTGGGGCACCTCCTTTCGCTGAGCGCGAGATCTGCGCCTTGAGCGGCGGCGGGCGCTTGCCAGAAGGCCTTTGGCAGCGCAGTCTGCAGCAGCTGAGAACACTCTGAGGCTCCGGGCTCGCTGCGGAGCCTGCGGCCGCCGCTGCAGCTCTGCGCAACGTTGCGTATCTTCGAGAAAAAGCCGGGCCTTTTCCGCAGGTGCGCAGTTTGCGATTTCCTAGTGCAGGCGTGCCCGATGTGCCGGCTCGTTTCGGCCGCTTGTGCCGCTTCGTCAGCCAAGGAGCGCGCCACGCACGCGTGGATTCTTCAAGAACTTGTCATGTCACAGCTTCAAGGCTCCGGCACAGCCCCGGGAGAAAGGCTCGTGAAAAAGCACCATTCGGCGGCGCTTCTTTCCAGTGCGCTTGTCGCCCTTCACCCCTTTCACCCTTTCTAACGACAGCTACAGGTGTGAGAGAAATCTTGATTGAACGGACGAAAGAGCACTGTGGGCCAGAGCCAAAACACCGCGCTGGAGGCAGCGACGCCTGCTGCGCCTACTGCTGCGCCTACGCCTGCGCAGTTTGCGATTTGCTCTCGGAGGATGTGCAGACCACGCAGACGGCGCTCTTGCTAAGACTGGGATAGGACCGGCTTTGTGACCTCGGCCATGTCTTGAGGACGTCAGCTTAGCTTCTGTATGTGATCGGGGTCCCAGTCACGGGGGATGATAGGACAAGTTGCAGCTGGACGGCACCAAAAGCTCAGAAGAGCTGCTTCCGCCTCTCTCGGCTACACATGTCTCTGCAAGAACTGCGCAGTTTGCATGATGTTTCTAGTGCTTTGCTGCAAGCCTGCCGAGCTATGAAGATTTCGTCCATGTCCGTATACGGCTCCTCTTGTGCCTCTCTCGCTCTCTTCTCGAAGATCGACAAGACCAGAAAGACATGGCCATGTCGGCGAAGCGGGCGAAGCTTCACAGTTTTTGGAGGCCTGCGGCCCGTGAAGCGGCGAAGCGGGTGAAGCGGTGAAGTGAGGACACGGCGGTCACGCGGGCGAAGTGGGCGAAGCTGTAGGAGCTGGGTGGGCCGGTGCGGTCTCGGTCTCAGCTCGCCTGT